AAAGAAATTTGTGAAGTAATTTTCGAAACGGATGAATCGACCCGACTTTTGATAATTGGGGTTTTGAATTTTTGATCTACCTCCCTACTAAATGGGTGAGCAGTAAGTTTTGATAGCGTTCCCCCCCAACTTGAATAGCAAAAAATTGACTTGCCAGCAATGTCCTTGCTTGAATCATATTGGACAGAATTGTGATGACAATATGCAACCTTTTGAAAGCCTTTTTACCATTATTAAATTAGTAGGGTCCCTGAATACCAATTTGCATTTGGCTGCACAGTGGTTTTTATGACCATAAACAATAACCCATGGGGTGAGATGTCAAATCAACTCAAATAAAAACATGAAAGTGGGGAGTCTTGTCAATATCTCCATTTAATGGGGCTGTTGTTTTGGTTCCCTTTATTGCCCAACGAATCTGATGCGAATTGCAGTAAATGAGGGAAGCTTCCCCTGTTTTCATCGTCCTGCTTCACTGCCAGTAATCACTGTGATTTCTTTAGATTGAAGCCATAAATGGGTTGTGATGAGTCATTAAATCCGCAAAGATTCCCCATAAATTTGAATCTCTTTCCCCAAATAAAAAAAAATTCTCATCTGTTTCTGTTCTTCTCGATCCATGACAAATTTTTATGCATCATTTTTCTGCAGGTTGTTCGGGAAATACAGCACTCGAGAACCGGGGTTACTGTAACAACTGAGGATGGATGTATTTTCGAAGCCAATTATGTGGTTTTGTCTGTTAGCATTGGTGTGCTCCAAAGCGACCTCATTTCCTTCACTCCACCTTTACCCGTACGTTTTCTTCTTTTATTTATTCCATGTTGTTTGTCACTAATCTCTCTCTCTGACTTTTGACCCCACCAACACCAAGAATGCCCCCTACAATTTATGACGACGTGTCGTATCTGTTGCCTCTTGATTTGTGAACCTCTATACAAAGACCTACTAAGGATGGGGTGGGGAAGAATCTTGACCTTTCTTTCAATATTCATAACACAATAAATACCTCTCGGGCTCTGTCCGTCCTGTGAGGTGGTGGGATTTTCCCTCTGACTTGACTTCTCTCTTCATATCTATCTCTAAAGGCCCTGCTGGTCCATTATTTAATTTCTTCATTTAGTGTCCAGAGTCAGAATTTATGGATGGCAAGGCCTCCCCCACTGACTCATGACGTAAGAATCGGATTCCCAATGTGTCTATGTGCAACTCCCATGCATCATCATCCCCCAGCCTTGCATTTTGTCACTCCATTTTTACCCTTTTCTAGAACACACAACTTAGTTACTGTTTACTGAAACCACTAGTTGTTGATTGGTACATTATTTCCACGCCACCCATTGTCTTGTTTTCTTTTATCTCTATATGGCTGCTGCTGGGTTTGGTATTGTTAACTAAACAAGATGGTTTTAAAATATTGAAACAGAGGTGGAAAACAGAGGCCATAGAGAAATGTGACGTGATGGTCTATACAAAGATCTTCCTCAAGTTTCCATATAAGTTCTGGCCGTGCGGGCCAGGGAAAGAATTCTTTATTTACGCCCATGAAAGGAGGGGATACTACACGTTTTGGCAGGTTCATTTCCTCTCTCTGTTTTTTTTTGGGGTAAATTTTTTGTTGTTGTTGCCAGCTAACACTGATCTCATCATCTCTACTTATCCAGAAATATTAAAAGTGAATAAACAAAGTCTTCTTAGGTAGTAGAATTATATGCTTGCCAACATAGCCCACAGGGCTACTCAGCTAGATCTTAGGTTGAACAAGTAGCCGTATGACCTATGTGCTATGCATCAATTTTCTTTATATGTTTGATTTTTATATTAGTTTGCTCTTATCGTTATTAACTTATTATACGATTGGTGTACTTTTATAATGTTTCGTGCAATTAGGTGCACATGGTCACATGCAAGCTATCAACTCTCGTATTAATTAATTCTTAATCCTTGCATTGCATATCATGTATATTTTGTAGAGTTGTGTTGGTTTTCATAATTCAGACACAATCGCATTCACTCCCTAATTGAATATATTTGGTTTTGAGTTGTCAAGGATTTATATGAATTCAAACTTCTAAAATATATTTATTATGCGACATGTTTATCATTTCAAAAATCACAAATCTATAGATAAAATACAGGCTAACATAAATTCTAGCTTTTGTACCTTGTATACTATTCAAATAGGGCAATATTAACTAAAACCATTAAGTCAAATATCTGAATAATTCTTGAATATCTGATTTTTATGATGAAGCATCTTCTTTTGATGGGTAATTGAAGAATAGCTTCATTAATTTATTCTCCACTCTGTGAGAACCTGACACCTTTGACTTTATTGACCTGTATCGAGATTCAACATGGTTAAGAAACAGAGTAACTTTTTACTAGGTTAGAGGTTCAAATTCTCATCCATGATTTTTTTTTTTTTTAAAGAAAAAAGTTTCTTCACGATGCTTGTTTGATCATTGATATCTTAATAGTAAATACTGCTCTTAAGTTCTTCGAAGACAGGCCTTTGGCACTCTCTTTTATGGTTGATTTTATTTTCCATTGGATTGTTGATATATTTGTCGCTATCAGAGCTCTGTCAATATCTGCTCCACGAACACTATACCTTTGAATGATGGAGCTATAATAATTTAAGGAGATCTATTTGCTTGATTTACGGAGGACGTACTGTGCATATCTTCATGTCTTCATGTGATAATGTTATGGCATTTGATACTCAGATCTCCCTTCTATGACTGCCATAGATTAATTAATAATCAATATCATACTACTGTCTAACTGACTATTATGATGACATCAGAACATGGAAAATGCCTACCCTGGGTCCAATATCCTGGTGGTGACAATAACAAATGAAGAGTCAAAACGTATAGAAGCTCAATCTGATGAAGAGACATTGAGAGAATCCATGGAAGTTCTCAGGGATATGTTCGGACCCAGCATCCCAGATGCCATTGATATACTTGTTCCTCGCTGGTGGAGTAACAGGTTCCAGCGTGGCAGCTACAGCAACTACCCCATCATCTCCGATTGCCAAGTTGTTCAAAACATTAAGGTTTTTACTGCCTATCTCTCCGCAAGTTTTCATTTCTTACTGATTATATGATTGATCATCTGTATCACTTAGAAAATAGAAACCCTCTGTAGAAAGCCTGTGAACACCAAATTATCTTACAACATTGAACTAATGTCTATTTCGTTGAAAGAGCATTAGATGGAATAAACTGAAATATGACACAATAAGCACAATCAAGCTAATGTAGTGTGTCTAGGAATTGTTTTGTAATTTTGATTTGATTTTGTTATAGTCGTTACTCGTTAGTTTCTTTTGGTTAGTAGCGTTGATATCCTCTATTGTTAATCTCTTGTATCAGCAGGATTTAAATAATAATGAAGAATACTCTAGTTGAGAATTCTTAGAGTTCTAGACGGTCTGTTCTGAATTCGTGGCCGCATCATTTTAACCAATTTGCTTTCATGGTGTGTTGTTTACAGGAACCCATTGGACGTATCTTCTTCACCGGAGAACACACAAGCGAAAGATTTAATGGCTATGTACATGGTGGATATCTTGCAGGTTTGAAGAACACCAACCACATCTAACTTGGTTTCATTGGAGACTTTAATTACCTACTAATATATAGTTTTCTTATGACATTCTCTCTATGACTGGCCTTTTGAACAGGCATAGACACAAGCAATGCCCTGTTGGAAGAAATGAGAAAAGAGAAGGAAAGAAAAAGTGAGGGTCAATCATTCTTGTTAGAGCCCTTGCTAGCATTAACAGGATCATTAACTTTAACACAGACAGAGGCAGTCTCAGGCCTTCACAAATGTGATCTTCCAACACAATTGTACCTAAACGGCAAGCTCGGTATCCAGGAAGCGATTTTATGACTACATGGACGACATACGAAGGGACATAGATCTTGTTTGTACAACGAAGACAGCATGGTGGGTGACGGAGATGACCAAAAGATGATGGGTTTGAATCCTAATTCAATTCGAGACTACAATACCGTCCATGACGAGGAGTGCAGGAAATGAAGCAGGAGAAAGGTGAAGAAAATAAAGTTATGTGATGGTGATCTGCATAGAAATGAAGGTGTGCCTACTTGTCTTGATTGTTGGAAGGGGTTATTTATTAATCTGGGCTTTAGTTCTAGAAATTATTTTGTTGATGAAAAAGCTCCTAGAGGAATTGGTGGGGGAAATATTGAATTTTCTAATTGTATTGTTACCGATCTTTTAATACAAGAAAAAAGTTGATCTCTCACTGTTCACACTTTGATATCTCCCACACCATCACTTAATCTTTGTTTCCTGGACCAAATTGTAATTATAATTTTGAACTTTAAGACATATATATTTAATAATATAAATCTACTTATTTTTAGCATAGTATATCTATTAGATTAACTAGTAACAATTTGGTACAATGTGACAATGGGTGCCAGATAGGTTTGTGATACATGTCTCCACTATTTGTTCCTATGTCGGATCAAATGATTACTAGTTAGTCTTAGTCTGGTGACAATGGGTGCCAGGATAGGTTTGTGATACATGTCTCCGCTATTTGTTCCTACGTCGGATCAAATGATTACTAGTTAGTCTTAGTCTAATTCGGAGATGATAATGAGTTTAGTCCTTTTATCTTGTTTCGATCTTAAACTTTGAGTTTTATTCTGTTTGTCATTAAATTTTTAAAACAATTCTCAAAATGCACTTTTTGCTAGGATACTGTTTCATGTTTGCAATTTTCATTAGTTCAAGCACCATACTACCACCAAAATTCGAGGACTAAATTTGTATAACTTTTCGTTACGGTCCTAAACACGTGTTGTCATTCTGGAGTACCAACCATACAAAGTGTATTGATGATATCATGACGAATTTACGACTACCAAGTTGAAAGATGAATGTGAAGTATGTGGAGGAAAGGAAAAATCATCCGTCAAATTGGGTACGAGAGTTTCTCTCTCTGTCGGTGGGGGCGGCTCTCCAAATCGCCATGGGATCAGATCCTTTCATCCTTCATCACTTCACTTCACTTCACTTGGCTTTTTCTACTGGTAGTTGCCCTTTCATAAGGCCCCCCCAACTGTTCTTTTCAAAACCACCCAATTAAAATAATCCAACCCAAATTTGTCTGCATTCTTCCGAGTTTAGAACTGTCGGCTACAGTACTGAGATCAGAATGAGAGATTGGTTTCTGTGTTTCTGTGGTCTTCTCCATTTTGAGTTTCTAAGATTACCCAATAATCTCTCTGATCTTCAAATCTGAGTAGTGATTCAGAGCCTGAGGGAGCCATTGTACTATGTTGGTCCAAGATCGGCCGAACCCAAAACAAATCCCACTCCCCAATCCCTTCCCCGAATCCAAACCCTTCGATTTCTCGAACTGGGTCTCCCTCAATCTCTTCAAAATCGCCACCATTTTCTTCCTCACCCTCACCATCGCCTCCTTCTTCTTCCTCCGCGGTGCTGCGGATTCCGCCACATTTCTCTGCTTCAACTCCCGCCCCAAACCCGCCGAGCCCATCCATTTCCCCAAAATCAACTTCGATTCGATTCAGCCTCTCGTCGACAAATCTTCAGTGTATGCTTCGTTCAGCTCTCAGCGGTGGATTGTCGTCTCTGTTTCCAGTTATCCTTCCGATTCGCTTCGGAAGCTTGCAAAAACCAGAGGATGGCAGGTACTTGCTGTGGGAAATTCTAGAACCCCATCGGATTGGAGTCTCAAGGGAGTTATATTTTTGTCTTTAGAGCAGCAATCTAGTTTAGGATTTAGAGTTGTGGATTTTCTTCCTTATGATTCGTATGCTAGAAAGACTGTTGGGTACCTTTTTGCCATCCAACATGGAGCGAAAATGATATTCGATGCGGACGATCGCGGTGAAGTGATCGATGGGGATCTTGGGAAGCATTTTGACTTGAAACTAACCAACGTGGATACATTGCAGGAAAGAATCCTACAGTTTGATTTCACGAACCCGAATAAGACCGTTGTGAATCCGTATATTCATTTCGGACAGCGGTCGGTTTGGCCTAGAGGGTTGCCGCTGGAAAATGTAGGAGATGTGGTGTATGAAGAACACTACACCCAAGTATTCGGAGGAATGCAGTTCATTCAACAGGGCATATCCAATGGTTTACCAGACGTGGATTCAGTGTTTTACTTCACACGAAAGACGGGTTCAGAGACATTCGACATAAGATTCGACGAGCATGCCCCGAAAGTTGCCTTACCTCAGGGATTAATGGTACCACTGAATTCCTTCAATACCCTGTTCCACATCTCAGCATTATGGGCTCTGATGCTCCCTGTTTCAGTCAGTACAATGGCTTCTGATGTCCTGAGGGGTTACTGGGCACAGAGGCTATTATGGGAAATAGGAGGCTTTGTAGTGGTTTATCCTCCCACAATGTTTAGACATGACAACATTGAAGCATACCCATTTGCAGAAGAGAAAGATCTCCATGTAAATGTAGGCAGATTGGTGAAGTTCTTGGCCTCATGGAGATCAAACAAGGCCACATTCTTTGAGAAGGCTCTGGATTTGAGCCACTCAATGGCAGAGGAGGGGTTTTGGAGGGAAAATGATGTGAAAATGACTGCTGCTTGGCTTGAAGATTTGGTTTCTGTTGGGTACATAGAACCAAGAGTGAAGGGATTTGAAGTGAAGAGGGAGAGGAGAAGAAGGAGGAGCTTTGTTCCTCAGAAGTTGCCTGGTTTTCACCTTGCAGTGGAGGAAACTGAGACTGTGAACTTTGAGATTGGGAAGTTGATTAGATGGAGGAAGAAGTTTGGGAATGTAGTGATGGTTTTGTTTGTTGATGGTGGAGCTGTGGATAGAACTGCCATGAAATGGAGGTTGCTTTATGGGAGGATTTTCAAGACTGTGGTGGTTGTGGCAGAGCATGGGAGGGCAGATTTGGGAGTGGAGGAAGCTTCTTTGGAGTTCATATACAAGTAATCTCCCATTTTTGGATACATGTGTCTTTTTAAGTTTTCTTCTTGGCATATTTGATCCGTTTCGTAACGTTCTCATTTCTTGTTTATGTTTTCTCTCTTTTATAAAGAAAAATGTGTAAATTCAATGATGATCCAACAATATTTATATCTATGTTTGTAAAAAATTGGAAATGGAAACCAAAAACAAAGAAAGTTTTCAATAGAGGAGGTTTCCAAAAAATGTGAAACAAAAAAATGCTTAAGTTTCTTAATAAAATTAGAAACGAGAAACAAAAAATGAGAATTTACCAAATGGGACCTTTCGGACTTATATGATTTTTTGTTTTGAAAATTTTGTTTTTTGTTTTTTTTTGTCTTGTTTTGTTTTTTATATCATTTTACTTAGTTGATGAGTTAGCTATTTTAGTCTTTAAAGTATTAACAATTATATGAACTTGAGTAAGTACTAAAATAGCAAAGAAAAAACGATAAAATATAAGCCCAAAATAGCCTATCCAACCACAAGAATTTTCATAGCAAGCCACAATTTCTAAAAATAGAGAATTCAATTATGAGAAGATAGTATTTTCATTATTCATCCAGCTTAAAATTCAATTTAATGAAATTGGACATTTGTAAATTTTATTTGAAGTTAATATGGGTAGGGAATAGGGGTTATTATTTTTTAATTTAGAGAATTCATCCTTTTTCTCATCTTATAAAATTAGATTGCCTTTTACATTCTTTTTTTTTTTCCTCTCAATTATATGATTTCTTATCCTACTCGATTTGTAAATTTTGTTAGTTATATGATTTCACTTTTTATATAGACAATATACAGGGTGTGTTTGAATTTTAACTTAAAGATTGTTCAGGTATAGTTAGTAATATATTTATAAATGAGTGGTTGTTACAAACTAAATATTTAGTTCAATTTAAATACTATTAATTAATTTATTAACATATATGTTATATATTTATTATTTTACAATATTATATGATTTATAATACATTAAATTTACCTATTTTAATTTTAACAAAAATGAAATGAATTTATATCATGATAGTATATTTATCAAATTTTGTATTTTTTTTTAATGTAATTATAATGTCTATGGTCACCATTGTTGAACTAAAAGAGATTAAGGATGGATTAAAATGGTCAAAGAAAAGTGGGTACTGGTTATTTTTTCTTAAAACAGATGAAAAAAACATTATTGATTAAAACGAATGTGTGGTTAAATATTTATTTAAAAAGTTCATCTATAACAATTTCCATTAACCAAAAAAAAGAAAAAAAAAATCTCTTTTTCAGGTACCTGCCTACGGTATTTGAAAGATTTTCCAATGCAGAAGGTTTCCTGTTCCTCCAAGATAATACCATTCTCAACTACTGGAATTTACTGCAAGCAGATAAAGATAAACTTTGGGTCACTTACAAGGTAATGCAGCTCTTTGTTGGATCCCTTCTTTCTCTGTTCACCAGTGGAAAAGTGTACCAAATATTTCTCATTCTCTCAGGTTCCTCAGTCTTGGAGCAGAGTCAGTGATGATTCTGTCTGGTTTGCCAAACAAGCAGACTGGGTGAAGAAGGTGGTGAGCACAATGCCTGTTCATTTTCAAGTCAACTATAAGGAAACTAACCCGACTGAGCGAGATCTCGCATTGTGCAACTGTGAAGTGTTTTACGTACCTCGACAGTTTGTGGGAGACTTCAAGGATCTTGTTGCTCTTGTTGGCAACTACAGGATGGATTACAGAGTGGCTATGTCGATGTTTTTCATGGCAATGGATTCACCCATGAATTTCGATGACGTCTTCAGCAAAATGGCGTACAAGAAGACACCAGCAGAGGAAATGTTGAGTAATGTTACAAACTTGTATGCTGCTGAAGTTCCTGCTGTTCATCCATGGAGGGTTTCCAATGAAGTGGAATTTGCTGAGCTGATGAGACTAATGGCTGCAGGTGACCCACTGTTGAAAGAGCTGGTATAAGAGCCGAAAATTCTCGAAATCTGAGTGTACAAATGTATGTGTAATTCAGAGCCATAACTTTCCTCAATTTTTTTTTTTTTGGTTAAATTATTTCTCCATTCAAATTTTTGTAGAGGAACTTCAAAGGAAATAATCAATATCTGAACTGGATGTTGATATGCTATCAATTTACAGGGCATAGTTGCTTAGATAATGAATACTTTAGAACTAAGAAGATTCACAGCTTAAAAAAGAGAATCATTCCTTGACACAAACCGATGATTTTGACATGTTAATGAAAATAGAGATAGAATTTTTTTTTCTTTGATAACTGGGAGTCGGAACTTTGCTTCCCTATATTTAGAGACACCTGCACCCGCCCCAAGGTCTGGACTTGGGAGACATCAAGGGTTTTTAGTTTTAAACTCACCAGAAGATTTGAAATTGAGACCTTTAAACACAGTATGACCAAGAGATCTCAAACTTTTGCCAACTGGCCGCCTCAAAGGAGGCAAAACAGAGATACAACATTAGAATTATAGGATATATAAGGTCTTATTGTAGAACAGAAACAACTTCCAAGGACCATGAATAAACTTGGTGATTGTTAGAAGGAAAAAAGTAGAACTGAAATGGTCATACCATATTTGTTCTGGTAGAACATAGAGAAATTGTTTCAACCAAAATACTTTTCATACAAAGCTCTAGAAATAGCAACTGAATTGCCTTCAGCTTTAACTGGGTAAAGCTCTGAAGCAGCTTGCCATTTGTTTGAAAACAGGATCCATTCTCTTCTCCAGTCTTCCAAATGGAAGCTCTCATTTTTTCTCAAGCTTTTTGATAGGTAATAAAAGTAGGTCAAAGCTCTTGGGAGATAGTAACCTTCCAGTAGCCCACTCCAGTACTTATTTGCTGGTGAGGAGCACATCAATATGTTAAACTTGAAAGAGAGGAGAGGGACAGAGAATCATGTTATAGCAAAAAAGTGTGAATATTTACCATAATCGTGAAGTTTGCTCTGGTTGAATTTTGTGTTGTCATACCACATGGTCACTTGGGTTCTTGCATTCCATTCATACTGAAACAAGTAGATGCATATTTGAATCTTGCTTTATTTGACCGCCTTGTAATGTGGAAAATAATAAAATGCATATGCAATAAAAGAAAAATAAGTTATCTTTTGTTAAATCACTACTGAACCCTAAAGCTTAAACTGATGGATTACGGTAAATTTAATATTTTATTGATACTGTAACACTCCTCACTTGTGGACTTAGAAATAATCAATATTAAGAGGGGGGAAATGACATATACTCTAATGCTATGTTAAATCACCAATCAATCCAAAAGCTTAAGCTGATCGATTATGATAAATTTAGTTTTTTACAAATACCTTAACACCGTTAATAAAATATTATTCACAATCCAAAATTAGACTCTTGGTATATTTGGTAGTATTTTTTACCATGGCAAAAAGCTTTCAAGTGGTAAAAAAATTGACCAAAATGCTATATTATGACTAAATATCAAAAGTGTTCCTAAAAAAATGGAACTAAAAGCAGTTTAGAAGCTTTTAAGAAGTCCCTCTATACTTCTGTTTCGTATTTCTTGTTTCTATCTTTTGTTCTCAATTATTCTTTGTTAATAAATAAAAATATAACTACATGTTTCTGGTTTCTTATTCATGTTTTCAAAGTAAAAAAAAAAAAAAAAAAAACATTTTTATAATCATTTTTTTTCTCATTCTCTAAAATTTTAAATTTACAAAAGTAATTTTCTAAAAAAATTAAATATTCAAAATTTTAACGGTATATTTAATTTTTAATATTTATTATGCATTTTATAAGTCAATAATGATAAAATATTTTTTTTTTTTAGTTTTAGAAAAAATTGAAAAGGGAATCAATAACAATAAACTTGATTTTGTTGTTTACAAAATTTCTCTACAATTTTAGAAACATTTCATAAAAATGGAAACATGAAACATGATAGTCATAAATGTTTATGTTTCTGGAAACAAGAAATAAGAAACAAAAAACGGAGATGTTATTAAATGGCCCATACTAAGTCCATTCTGTCCATTCTGTACACTTTTTATCTCACTACATTCATTCTACCTCCGTACATGCTCTCACTAAGTTGGTCGATAACGGATAGTTGGGCAAGTAAATATGAACTTTGAAGATACTCAAAGCTAAGAGAAGACTAGTCTAAAGTAAATCCATAACAAGTTCAGTTTAGTGCAAAAGGAAGAAAGTAGCAATACGCCTCAAGTTTAAAGCCATGGGAGAGGAAGACTTTCTAACCTGTTTCATCTCTGAAGGATTTGTGGCCAACTTCTTTGCACTTTCAAGCCATGTTCCTAGCAGAAAGTTCGAATTAGAAGCAAGCAGCCTGTCAATGTCTCTTATTAACTGAATAAATCTTTTGCTATGAACATTTAGAGCTTTCACATCCTTGCGCTGAAAAGCAATAACAGCACTCAAATATTCTTCATTTGCCAGCTTCCCTAGCACTTGCCGCATTAAGTCAACCAAGTCATACCTATTCAATTGCAAGCAACAACAGTGTTAATGTTGCTGCACACAACTAAAATGATCATATCTTCAGAATGACGGGCTCAATTACGATGCGCTAAGGCTGCTTTTTTAGCTTCTATACGAACAAGTTGCTTTGAAACTTATTGGAAGCTTGTGAAGTGCTTGATTAGAGGACTTGTATTATATGACATATCAACTCGTCATCCTTAAGACTCAACCATATGCATATCAAAGTGTGCCATTTTACCTGTATGTAGAGCTGTTGATGAGATCATTGTTGGCGTTAAGGAGTAGCTGCAAGGCATTGATAACCTTCTGAGTGGAATACCATAGATGTGGCTTGCCCATATCAGAGCTTGAATATGGATCCCAATCTGGAAGTTTGACAATGAAATCAGTATTGTGGTCCTGGAAAATTTTGAAGGAACAGATTAGTAATAAGTTAAAATAAAAAAAATAAATAAAAATAAATGAAAAAGAAGGAAAAAGAAAATGAAATGTGGTGCATTGTAGAAATAATTTTGATAGAGCTTTTTATGCATCATAATTGCAAAAATAACATAATCTTACTGAGAGCGAGTTTTAGTGAGTTCGAGATGAATTTTAAAAATCAATTTTCTAAGTGAAGCCCTCCTAGAAGGAACATCTTTTAAGTGTTTTCTAGAATTTTCAAAGTTATTTTTACCAAATGCTATAAAAGTTTTGAAAAGTGCTTTTAATTAGTTTCCAATTACCTGTCACCCTTTCAAAGTTATTTCAAACTTCCTAAATAATTTTCAATACTTGCTGAGTTTTACTCCATATTATGTTTTCATTTGATTGAGCGACAATGCAAAAATCTATCTGCAAATTTTCAGGGTCTCTGATAATGTTAGGCATCTCTTAATTGTCGATCATATTCTACCTACACAGCTCTTAATAATTTTCTTTCTGAACATCATGTCTCAATTATACTTACCGCAATGCCATCAGTGCAATTGTAAATTGTATGATAAAGAATCTTCCAAGCTGCATCAACATAATGATCTGCTTTACCGTAACGACAACGGGAATAGGTCTTCAACCACTCCTACAAGAAATTACAATGTTTCATTATGCCCTCTGATCACCGCCATCATAGAGTTATTTCGTAGACGTTTATATAAATCCACTATATGCAAGAATACTCAATTGTGTCAATCGTAAATATAACAAGGAGAAGAATAGGAATTGGGGAGGAGAGGGAAACAAGAAATATATATATATGAAGAAATAACATCATTTTGGAGAGAAATATGTAAAACCATCAATACCAACAGTCAATGTTTTGAACTATTTAATATCAAAACCAACCAATATCAACAATTACGGATGAATAATAAGAGAAGTCGATACAAGGTTAAAATTTTCCATGACATGCTCAAATTTGAATAAATCTTCAACATCAAAATTGCATAAAATTTCTGTTAAACCAAGATATTGTGTTATTCATATTTTTGTCTCCTGGTTGTTAAAAAGAAACCAGTAATGGCTCTGAATCTCTACAGAGAGAATTGTTCTACAATTTACAAACTACTATAAAAGCCAACATCTTACAGGTTATCACTGAATTATGCTGATTATACCATATATTCGCACAGAAAAATGTAAAATTGATTAAAAAATATATATATTTGTTTGGCTCCAGAAAAGATAAATCAGTTATAAACTTATAATTTATAAACAAACACATGATAACATAACATATATAGGGTGTCTTCTTCATCAGCATTATAGATTGACAGAAGGCGATATACATGAACAGTCATTGCATTTGCAGAATACTGTGAATCACTAAACATCGAGATCGCCTCAACTATTAGAAGGCATTTATATCAACTTACCTGGACTTCAACTTTTTTGCTGCGAAATGCCATTTCAGACATCATTTCATAAACAACGGGATTATGCTCTATTCCTTCCATACACATGCCAACGCCAACCTACCATAATTAAGGAAACGTCACGTGTAAGAAGATAAAATATCAAGATCCCCAATATTTACATGAAATCAATAAACGTAGAAATATGGCCAACAAGATATACAGTGAACAAAAATAGCTTCAGTTCTCTTAGAAATATTAGCTAGCTGAATACTCATAGGAGTTCACGTGCTACATTATAGGAAACTAAACATACCATTGTTGAATTTTCACTTGCAAGGGCATCGACAGGACCTGAAGAAATTGCATCCAATATACCATACATTTCTATATTTCCACCAAAGTTGTGCAACATACACCTGAAGTCAAACTAAATTTGTAACAAACTTGTGAAATAAAAATATAGAAATGACATCATTGAGACGTTACATGACTTTCTTCAAAAATGGTAATAAAGGGGTTACTGACCATACATAGGGAGTGCCATAAAATTGAGACGATGTTCTCCAGATTGGCTTGACTTCAGCAAAAAGATCAAGAACAATCATTTTCCCAAATGGGACTGAGTGAAGTAGAGCCTGCAGATCCCATAGAACCATAGCTAATAAATGGTAGTATGAGACAACCAAAGGGCCAGAAAAGGAGTCATTTTGATATTAAGTAGATATTTACATTTAGCGTATGTTACTAGCATCTAATAATTTAACCAGGGATTACATGACTCAGTCATAAGAAAACATTCATTTT